CTTCTCCTGCGCTCTGTCTCCACCCCGGCCAAAGCATCAGGGATAAAATTTAATAACCCTTTTCCATGCTGTAATCGGGGTCTGGGGTCTCACTTTCAAGAACTCGGTTCCTATGTCGCGGCTGCTTCAGCCTGGATTATGAATTACTTTCTAGTGAGGACACATATAAAAGCTAAGTAACTGTTAATGAAGAAAATCAGACGTCTGTGTTACATGAGCAGTGTCTCTCTTGGGCAAAAAAAAAAAAAGGTTATTTTATCCCCGCCCCCCCCCCTCAAAAATGAGCTGTAAAAGTTGGGAAAGTTGTATCTGCGTCTGAGCGTTTCAATGCGAAAAAAAAAAAAAAAAGGGGGGGGGAATAAGGGAGAGGGGAGAAAAAGCAAAGCGAAGAAAGTATCAGTCGAGATCCCTCAGAGAGAGTGGAGGGGTCCTGTGCGACGCGTGGGAATAGTGCTGTTTGTAAAATGGCAAAGAGGAAACGTAAATATGCGGAGAGCAAAACAGAGCATATAGAGAGGGAAATCTGCTGAGGGTGAGGAAGGTCTTTGCAGACAGTTGTGTGTTGTGACACCGTAAAAAAAAAAAAAAAAAAAAAAAAAAAGGAGTCCGGTAGGTCTTGGTCTAAGTGGAAAAGCGCAGGTTGGCGTGGAGAAATAAAGTCTTAAACTCTGAATATTTGGACTTTTCTGAGGAAGCAAAATGGCAGGCTGGCAGGTTTTCCCAAAGCGGGTTCGGCTCTGGCGGGAATGGTGAATTTAGGCATTTATTTATTTTTTTGGCTGGTGGATTGTGATATTTCGGGGGTTTTCCCGGCTTTGACTTCTTACTTGTGAGCCTCAGGGCAAAGTTTCTGTACAAGGAGTAGATTTCGATTGCAAAAATAGCAATGGACGGGCGCTTGGTCTGAATGTTATAACCCTGATGAGAATAAAATCACGTGCGATGATTTGATGGGTATTTTTAAGCATCGGGTTGAAAACGCGTCGCTTTGTTTTGTGTGCTGTGTTAAAGATGCTGCATTTTAAGTGTGGAAAAGACGAAATGGTTGTTGATTTGGTTCAAAGCAATGTTGTATGGACTACGGTTATTTTCATCATCCTTTTAGGTCGAACACACCAGGCTGGAAAAAAAAATGTACTAAGCGAGTTTTAAAAGGGTAAGAAAAAAAAAAAAAGAAAAAAAAAAGAAGAAACTAATTCACGATACTGTAAATTAATATTTCAACAGGGACAAGGTTGATTACTGGTGCTTTTAACCATAATTATTTGATATTAGTGCTGTGATAATTGAATGATTTAAAGGATTCATTACATGTATGATGAGTTTGCCTTCTTTGTATTAACTATCTGCAGATTTCTTTCCCTTTCTTCTAACAGCATGTACAAGACAAAACAATATCTATTATGTGTATATTAAGATTGATTTTATTTCTGAGAGACCACCCCCCTGGCGAGAAAGAGAAGAATCTAAAGTTAATATATGTTTAGCAACCCAACTCCAGAAATGCAATAAAAGTTAAAATCTCCCCTACTGTTTTTTAATTATGATATTAGATCAGGAGGAAGGACGGTGAGAATTTATTGCTTCAACTATTTTGTATAGATGTGCCTGTTTTTTATGTAAAAACATGGGTAGTCAAAAAGACACCATGCTGTTCGCCTTCATCTCTCGTCGCGTAATATTGTTTGCTTTGTTGCTAATGTTCATGCACTTTCTGATGCTGTTATCGGAGTAAAATATTAGCGATATTATGATA